GCACAGTGCACACAGTGTAGATGGAGGATGTCATTCATGCATTTGGACGAAGTTGTGCTGATGCTGTTGCCCTTTGGGGCATGGTTGTCGTTTTGCAGGATCGGCACTGGGGCGAGCTGTTGAAATACTGCGTGTCAAACAATGCGTACGTGGGTTGCCCTCTCCCCGTGGCTTTGGAGCTGTGATATAGCTTTTTCACGGTCACCGTATTGCTATAGCCTATAGTGAATCTGTGATGCCAGTGGTCATATACCTGACCAATGCTTTTTCCGTTGAGCAGAGATAAGCAGAAGGGTCACAGCCTCACAGGTGATGGTCGCGCTGCTGCGACTTTGTCATGGAGAGATGCATTCTCTATGTGTGAGAACATGGTCTCGTTCATCGTTCATCTTTGTGATTGTGTTTGTGGGGGCTCTCTTCCATGGCGTGGTGTAGTCGGTGTATTTTTATAGATTGTGGGTGCTTGTAGGATATCATGATCTAATCTGTGATTAAGGGGTGTGACTTAGTTCTTGTATGATGAATTCCATCTGTACTTCGTACTTTGGCAGAGCACTGCAGTTGTTCCTTAGACTGGGTTATGTTTTCGGTTGAGCATTTGTGAACCTTGTGGGCCCCATAGTCATTGATGCCTCCTAGAATATTGCTTGGCGCCGTTGGCGGACTCGGAGCTCGAAGTCAAAGTAGTCATAACCATGGTTATGACTGGATTAGTCATGACTGATTTATCCGTGTTGCAAGTGCTTTTTTTTTTTTTTTTTTTTTTTTTTTTAAAATCCCTATCGGAGTGGGCATGCCAGTCCCCTTTTTTGGTTGTAGCCAGCTATTGGAATGGGTTTTCTGAAAGACCTGTGCCTTGTTGTTGTCGACAGCTCTTGGAATGGGTTTTTTGAAAGACCCTTTTTTGGTGTTTACATGATGATGATGATGATGATGATGCCGAATCTGTTGCGGATTCTTGTGCTGATTCTTTGGCCCAGTACATTGGCCGAATCTTATGTTGGCGATGATGATGGGGGGGGATGAGGTGGAAGAGGAGAATGAGGTCAGTGAGGAGGAGGTGGGGATGGAGTCGGAGGAGGAGGAGGAGGAGGAGAAATAGATGCTATGTTTTGACTGTTCCCTGATTGGATTGTAAACTAGGTCTGCATGCTTTGGCTTATCTGTTCCAAGAGGGGGACGGGGAGGAGGAGGAGAAGGAGGAGGAGGAGGAGGAGAGTGAGGTCGATGGAGGATGAGGAGAATGAGGAAGATGGAGGATGAGGATGAGAATGAGGTTGATGGAGGATGAGGAAGATGGAGGATGAGGATGAGAATGAGGTTGATGGAGTATGAGGAGAATGACGTGAAGGGAGGATGAGGATGAGGATGAGGACTTTAGAGGACGATGGAGGGCGAGATGGAGGGGGAGGAAGGGCTTTTCTGAAAAAAAAAACAAAAAACATCCTAAGACTGTTCCGTGAATGGTATGTAAAGCAGGTCTACATGCAATGGGTCAGGGCTTTGTAAACAAAACATGGACCTAGTTTTGCCTCCTGTTTTTCAGTTCTTTTATTTCTTCAGGACTGTTTTGTCTTTTTTAAGGATCGAACTTTATTGATATGAAAGCTGGGAACTGGGGCCCGCTGGCCTCCTTGCTGCAGCTATGTGCTGAGCGAGGCTCTCTGCCCAGGCAAAGCTCATGCCACTACTGTTTGAGCGACTACAATCCCTTCTTCTCATCTTCTTTTTTTTTTCCGGAAAGCCTGTAATTATATTGCAAGAAAATCAATGGGACGAGGCCAGGGACCTCACAATTCGACCCGGAGTTATCCTGGCAGCCTCAGCCAGTTCCGCTTAGTACGAGCATAGCTGGATTCCAATCAACTGCTCAAAGTAACCCCTCAGTCCTAGCAGAGGAAACTGGGTCCAGCGTCCCATTCTACACCGAAATACTCTCCGAGAAGTAAACCTTGAAGCTCAGAGTGAAAAAGGGGAGCTTTCTATAAGCCAAAAGCTCGTAGATTTTCCAAAGACTTAGTTAGCCTTTAAGCTCAGAAATAGGGGCTGTCCAAAAGAAATAACTTTTAAGCTCTGGCAGCAGTAGTTCAAGAAACCATAATAGTCCCATGCGGACCTAGACTCGGTCCTACTTAATCATGTGTATCTGACAACCATGAGCATATTCTGGCCAAGCGACCATTTTGGTCGATAGAAGCTAATCTTTGGCCCCGTGCCCAAGTTTTCTGAAACCACACAGGATTCTTCCGTTGCCAGTTGTCCGTAATTATTCTCCTTATTGATTGCTTGATCTGGCGTTGTTGCTGTATACTGGCTGTGTCCGCGCCCTTGAACAGCTTAGAGTTCCGGGCCGCCCTTGAACAGCCTGGAGTTCCGGGCCGCCCAGATGGTCGCCATCACAACCCCTCTGCAGCACAGGGCCACGTATCCCCACCCCGAAGCATAGCACTTTTCAGTAGTAAGAATACTAAGGATACCTGTGAGCATCCGAGTGTCCTACCAGTCCAACTCT